ACATTTAAAAAAATATTGAGATATAAATTATTCCCTATGATTTTTGTTATTGTACTCGGTTGTTCGAGACACCTGAAATTAATGAAAGACGACAAAGAAGAGGCCTGTCTGGACGATGTCTTGTTTTCATTGTGTAGAGTTTATAACAAACACTTTACGCCCGGTAGATTGAATTATCCGTATATTTGCATACGAAATTTGTCAAAATCTATCTGCTTTCTTAGAGATTCAAGACGCTCAATAAATATGGTTTCATTAAATAGGGGTCGAAAATAGGAGGTTTCTATTAGTTAATTGCAACCATCACTATCCTTCATTTCTGCCAATACACATACCGAATAAGATCATTCAAATCGCCTATACGATGCAAGAGAAACTTTAGTTTAAATTAGAACGCCATTTCCCAGCGTTTTTCAGGTACGAGAGTATAGTCTATATCTCCTCTATATTCTTATTAACGGGGGTCGAAGTAATTTGTGACTGGTATACCGACACAAAGCTAGATTTCGTAGATACATAAAATGTCATTCTTTGAATTTGTTGAATTGTATATAAACTCATCAGCCTTAAATGGTAGGTCTCTGACCTTTTGGTAACAAACACTAACTGTGTGCATCAACTTAGGTTTTTACCCCGCCTATATTATAAACTTGAAAGCTGTCAAGTCGTCCGAAGAACTGATAAAAAAATGAAAGACGTCTACAACTCCCTGTAATGCCAAATTAGAGCGCAGCTCTTGAGGAGGAGGAGGGGAGGGTACGGAGGGGACGGTATGCCTCTCCTCCTCTTTCCTCATCTACTCCACCCCTGCTGTACGCCTCCTCCCCCTCTTCCTTCTCACTCCTTCTCCTCCTTTCTTCCTCTTCCTCCCCCTTTCTCCTCCTCCTCCCTCCTCCTCCTACTCCCCTTCCCTCCGCCCCTCTCCCTCCTCCCCTCTCTTTCCCGCGCAGTGCATTATGGGAAACGTCTCATAATGCACCGCTCGGTCGCGCCGACAGCGACGCCGACGCGTTACGGTTACGCCTACGGCGACGGGACGCCAACGCCGCTTAAGCTGGAAACGGGCGCCTAAAAGCTCCGCTTTAAAAGCTTCGCTTTAATAACTATAGCTTCCGGCCACAATTTTAAATTGTTGATTGCCTCGAATACTTACTCGTCACCTGAGAGGAGAAACGAAGAGTATGAGTCAAATCTTAACATTTTCGAAATGATCACCTGATTTTCTTCTACGAAAGGCATAATCCGCGCTTGAACATCATCAACACTCTCATCTGGTTCAAGTCTTGATACAAAAAGTGCCAAACGGCGATTCACCCGAGGGACAGTGGCCAGCTTACGTGGCTTAACAGTTCCTGTTGACGGCTTTGCAAGTTGTAGTGGCTTCATCATGGTGAAATCATCCTCGAAGGTGTACCCTCCTGCAGCCTCCGCACCATTTGAGGAACTTTATTTTCTACTGGGATCACCCTGATTCATTAGTGAACGGCATTGGAAAGCGTAAAAGTCGGTCGAGAAGCCAGCCGGGGCGGTGATTCAGTTGTTGGCCGTGCGGAGACGGACGCGTACAAGGATGATGAAGTTGACGGAAGTGGCATTATGGCATTCGTTCATAGACACATTTACGGAGATGAAGCACATCAGAGCAAGGGTTGTTGTTATCCGCTCGAAGGTACTTGAGCTCAGCCGTCACTATACCCAGTTTGCTGGACAGGGTTTCGATGAGGTGTAGTAGATCGGGTGAGACAGAGTTGCAGACGAGCGACGCGTTCTACGGTTCAACGAACGGCACTGAAGCAGGAAGCTCACCTCCGACACGAGCAGCGGCGTAATTACCCGGTGACATGCTGATTTTTCGGCTACAACCAAAGCACTTAAAAGCACTCGTGCCACTTTTCATAAATATATTGCACTCTTCGACGCCAATGCTTCAGCACTTACAATAACAACGTCAATTGCAATCCACCTAGCACACCAGAAACTGCTGCTTCGCATAGAAGCGCGCCACACGGGAGCCATTTGCGTCTTTTAGCGGAGCGCTACCGGGCATTTGCTTGCCGTCCTCCCTGATTCTACAGAGTTAATTCAACCTGAAAATAGTTTATCCTTAAAAATAGAATTTGCGCCTGTTTCATGCACCTTGCACAACGCTCGGTGTCCAACTGAATGAGGAGAGGAATTTTGACAAGTAGTAGTGTCTCCTAGTTACTTTGTTGTAAGACACAATGACAGGGGTTGCTTACAGTGAAATTATAATATTACTGAATAGTGAAATTACTTCTTTTTTTTTCAATAGCCGTTTTGTTTCAGCCGTCAAATGAGAACTGAGGCCGCTCATTTCATTGGAAAACCTTTCAAATGCTGAGTTCTGTCTGGCTAATCACCTTATCTTCATCAACCTTCAGTATGAGGCGTCACATTACGCTACCATTTTCACTGTATCTAATCCTAGCGGCAGATATTATGATTCCCATAATCTTTGGCGCTACCATTACACCTATTTAACTTTCTCTGCAAGTAATCGTTCACGTCACTGCACGCATCCCAGAGAAAATTTGGCTTGACTGTGCGACTTTTTAACATAACATAGTATTTGCAGGTGTAGTATACAAATAGTACCTCTTTTAAATATCAAAATAAATCAAACCCCTGGTGGTTCTTTTACATTAAAACAACACAGCGCCATGCAGCATAACATACAGGCAAGATAGCTATAGAATATTGAATTACTTCCAGAACGTCTTTACTTTTCAACTATATCAATTCAACAAGCTAAGAGCCTATCTAGCAATAAAAAAATGTCTATAATAAAACTGAAGTAAATCTTACTAGCGGTTTACAATAGAAGAAAACAACTAATTTAACACCGAGATTAGAAAATAAAAGTGCCAGGTCTCCACGTGCCGCTTTATTTCTACGTTTCCCCAACAAAGCTAGCTTCTATAGAAACTTTTTCATATTGGATTCACCGCGTTACCAAAGGTTCGGCAGCCGAAAGTTTGCACACTTAAATTCACGAGCTTTCCTCCAGTTTGCCTAAGGTTCAGGTGCAGAACAGTCGAATCCACAGTTGAAAATTACAAATATATATATATATACAAACAGGGACGCCAAACTCAAGGCCTCCTACTGTATCTTATGAAAGTCGCTGTTTTTTCCATATGGGACTATTTTTTTATCCAGAAATTCTACAAAAATAAATCGTGTTTTATTTGTGTCTTCATGATTTCTCAAACGGTGCAGAGTGCCTTTAAGATAAATCATAATGCAGAGCTGTTGGCACCGATGTTTGGTAGTCAATGCCGCCAACGTTTTTCTTACCGAAATCTATTAAAGTCACGAATATAGTTTATTTGATTGCGACTAAGGTATTTTTACCTCAAATTTTTTCCGACAGCTTACCTCGGAAAGCCTAACCACCAGACAAATGTGGGTGTTAATGGTAATTGAAATAAAAATACCTCGAAATAAAGAAGTTTAACCGACTGCTGGGACCATGTACGCAAATTGGAACTCCTGTTGCATTAAAAATACCTCAAGAAATGACAGCTGATTTCGTTGTTTTTTTTTTCTATGTTGTAATTTTTTGCATGCGACTATCTACAGGGCACCGCTAACTTTACTCCTACGGCCACCTACAGCTTCAGAAAGGCAAGACAAGGCGAGTCATTATCTCTCATCAGCCAATCATATTGCGGCATTGATCGATAAGAAGGCCCAAGAACCAATCAGGACGCAAGAAGCGCAACCGTCACAAGCCACGCCTTAGGCTCCTTAGGTTGTCGGTAACTGTCATTCATTCTGGTTCGGGGCATTCATTCGCCTTCTTGACGTACGAAGCAACGACAAATATACCGGTCACGACAAGAGATGTTGGCCAAGTGCCACCATTGGGTAGTTAGTTCTACGTATTTTAATGTAGTTATCAATAAGGTAAAATCAACCCAACTGCCAGCACCATGTACAATTTGCATCTCCGTTCACGAGCACCAATGGACGTCCCCTAGCTCCTCCCCCTTTTCTCGAAACCTTATGCTTTGAGCCATTAATTGTTATCTCAAATCGCGTAACCTCTATTTAGTAAACGTACGCCCCTGCACTCTAAAGCGCGTTTCACATGCAGCGATTTTGGCCCTAGAGCAGCGCGATTTCTGCCGTCGCGGCGCTCGTGCCGCTCAACCGCTGGTGCTGGCCAGAGCGCCGCGACGGCAGAAATCGCGCCGCTCTAGGGACAAAACCGCGGCATGTGAAACACGCTTATGTTGCCTGGAGCGTCAACGTTTCCCGCAAAGCAATTAGAAGAGCCAATGGAAGTAATCAACAGGTGAAGCTAGGGGGATGATGAAGCTGAAAATACGTATAAATCTTAAAAAAAAATAGGTCTGCACTGTGACACTGAGCGCGAGGTTTCTCGTGCTTACTTCATGCTTATTCTCACAACGAACACTGTTTTCTTAACGTCTACACTTATTTTTTAAGATTCATCATTCGCCAAGAGTGCAGGCATTGGCTCTCGATAGCGCCTTGCTAAAAAGTAAACGCTTTTTTTTTTTGGTTTTTCTTTAGATTATTTTTTAAGATCCGGTGTTAAACCGCATCGGGCCGCCTGTGAATAAACATAGTTTGTTGCGTGATATCTAGAGAATCCTCACGTTCAAACAACCTCCGCACTTTGTTTCTCCGTCGAAGTAGCCCTCACAAACGGCCTCCTAAGCACCGCGCGCCGTAACTGCGAGCGCGCACTCCGCAAGTCGACGAGCAAGAACAAATAACACCACCTAGGAAGCAGAACCCTCGGAACTGACCCGAGCCCCGTGCGTGTCTCCGATTGGTCCCGTTGGAGCGGAGGAGTCTGGCCCGGCTTTGAACCCCGGGTTCCCGCGGCTGAGCGCGGCATCGATTCGTCGCGCAGGCGGCGCTGTCGGCGCGACGTCACCTGTGACGTCACCGGGGGCCCTGTATGTTAATGGGAGCGCGGAGGATAAAAACCCAAGAGGACCAATGGGACAGGGCCGCCAGTGATAAGCAAACCCGGTGTCCGAACCCTTGTCGTCGCCAGTCGATCTCTTCGGTGCACACGAAGCCTGCGGTACGGCACACCAGCACCGGGTCTTCACGTGGAAGCACGCAGCGCCCATCGCGACAGCCGAGTGAGTAGCGGTCCCTCGGACTTTTGAGCCGGTTGTCGACGCACGTTGACTGGCGTCGGGTCTCGCTCCCTGGGTCGAACGTGCACCGCTGGTCCCCAACTCCGTGCCGGGACGCTTTTTGCTTCGGATGACGCGCGCGCAACTTGCGACCAAGTTACGCTCCGCTATCGAGTTTGGGATGATTTTAGGACTGCTTGGTTTGGTTGCTGACCAAACGCACCGAATTGTACACGAATTAAAGTTAAACAAAAATATAGGAGTTTTTGTATTAATATTATATCAGCCTTGTTGCCTTTGACAGGACGCTGACACTGAGCAGCAATCAAAAGATAAAATGCATTTGACTTTTTTTTAAAATTATTTCTGCATTTGTGTTTTTCTCTTTTATTTTCTTCTCTTTAATGCCCGGAGTTTGTACGTTATCCTCTACCAAGCTTTTACCACACTATTTGTATCCTGTACTACTTCTAATAGAGTGGAAACAAATCACTAATTTCAGTTACTTTTATTTCTTCTGGATATTAAATAGCAACCTTTCCAGTATTCAGCAAAAATCGGTTTTGTAAAAATATTGTTTCGAAAATATTGGAGCTTGTGTTTGATGTTGAGTTGGAACGTCTGCTATTTACAAGATGAACTCGAGGACAAGCGATAGTTCCGTAATAATGTGAACGAGTCTCGCGTCGTGGCAGTTGACATTTATGTCTTAATGGAGAAAAAATAATGAGAACACAAAAGCAAAATTATCTGTTAAGCATATTGACAACGCACATATTGTAAGAGCCTCATTGAAAACTTTAGAACAACATTTATATCGCAGTCGCTTTCTTACGTTAAGTTTGAACCACCTGCGTAATAAATGACTATGGTTTTATTTCCCTGGATTTCTTTTTGTTTTTAATATTTACTATTTTCGATGACAATTAGTTATAAACCTTCCGCACTAAAAACTTGAACGTATGAAGACATTCCCAGTCTTTGCGAGCATTAGGAGACACGAATGCGAATTTTTAAGTAAAGCTCGAAAAAATAATTGCGAGATAAAAGTTAACAAAAAAAAAAAAAACTAATGCACTTCCTATGGATGGTAATTTCCGCCCCTTCAACGTAATTTGCACTCAAGCCAGACCGGAAAAACTATCCAAAACTGCCGAGAGTGCGAAGTATGAAGACAATAAAAGCAAACACTAAGTGAGTCATAGTGAACTTTAAAACTAAGTTTGACGGGAATTGGAAAGTTTATGTTTGAAACGTACATTCTCCTCTATAAATTCTATGTAATGAACTATTTTATTACATGAGGTGGATTGACAGTCATTACAATGTGTTGCTCTTTCTGACATCTTGAACTAAAATCATTTTTTTAACACAACCCCGACATAAGTTTTAAAGTTGAGGTAAGTTGAGGTGTTCAAGAGCTTGACGATGTCAACAGAAAGGTGCGCTTTGCACGTTACAAACGTGTCGTATTTTCGGGTGTTTATGAATTTAAAATTTTTTTAGCAATGTCAGTCGATTTTGTTTTGGTTATGCATGCGTTGGATGAACTAAGAGGTCATATTTAGAAGTCGAGTAAAGTAAGGAGTAAGTTAAAAATGAGCCTTGTTGAGAAGGGTCTGAGCAAAATAAGTTTACAAATTAACGTTTCATAAAACATTGTTTGTGACACCAATAGATTATATTAAAAAAGCCTTCTGCCAGTATGGATTTATATAAACCGAAAACCATTTTTCCGGGTTTAATATCGCTATGTACAGTGGCGGACGATATGAAAAAGTAGGCGATCGCGTGGCTCCAAACCTCCAGTGCTATCGAACAGAAGAACACTCAGCTATCATCGATATGTTTGTGCGCTCAAGCGGCATTTAAGCGGCAGTTCAATTTTTTGTCGCTACTCCCCTATTGGTCGGCAAACGATTGCTGAGTCAACACCAATTTTGCCGTTGTTGTTTAATCAAGCTTAAGTGTTTTAATACAAAAGGTGAGAGCGAAAGACCGTGAAGTTGTAAGTGCAGTGTTTGAGTGCTGCGTGATAAAGACGTAGAATAAGAAAAACCAGGCGTTCTTAGTATATATCATAATGCTAAAACCGAATAAAAGAAACGAAGAATTTTTACAAATCGCCTGTTATCTCAGAGGTTATTATCAACCACCCAAAACGTAAACTCTTCGCTCGCCTTTCCTATCCGGTGGCTTCAGCCGTGCTTAATTTTACCTTTTGTCGCTGTACGCTGTTACAATCGGCGTTAAAATAAGCATTAACTCGGCGGAAGCCGGTCAAGCGTGGAGATCCCACAAAAAAGTGATCAGCCGCTGAAGCCCCTATAATGTTCGAGACTTTTTCTGATGGGTAGGGTTTCAGGCTTCACAAGCCACTCGGTCGCTTGGGCTTTTTCATATCGTCCGAGAGTGATTGATATATATTCGAGGGGGAAAAAACTATCGATACACCAGTGCACGAAGTTTGACGTATCGCGGGAGGGAAGTACAATTATAAAATGCACCTTGAGGGTTTTTATCTGACGATATTATCCTTCACCGGAACAAAGGTGCTCGTGTCCGCTTGACGGAGCGAGAAGCATAGGGGTGATCTATAAAGAACTTGAAAATTCACGGGTGATTGCTCCGCATAATTAACAACGATCCCTTTTGGACACCGACAGTTTTGGGCGAACCTGAGACCGGCGTTGGAGGACAAGGATTTGTTTCATATTTTAGCGCTTCACATTATGGCGTACGCCGCGGGCTATACAAAACTTTTCAATGAGTGTGTTTGAGCGTCGGCAATAGAGTCTGAGTGCACTTTGTGTAGAAAACCGCATGCTAGTCAAATTTGTGCCGGCACTCCGAACAGGATGTTCGGGATTTCGACAAAGAAAGCATTAGACATTACATTGTGTCAGTTTAAAGTCATAGCGTGCGCACTGCGTACCTTATAAAGATCATAAAAGTATGCAGCTTTTTTTTAAGACTTGGTTTAGCAGAAACTTTATGATGGTGGTCCAAACAAGTACAGTCGGATGAATGTTCTTATACATATACTATGTATGTTGAGTTTTTAGCTAAACGCGTGGAGGAGGACCGCTCCATACGACTAGATAAACCCAGCAAACGCTTCCGAAAAAAAAAAAAAAGTGCGACAGTCGAAGGTGCCATTTAAATCGCAAAGAGCGTTTTCTGATTGAATTTGTATCGAGTATCAACAGTGTTTGCGGAAGCGCTTGCTATACGACTCTGGTGGTAAACGGATAGGTCACCACTTGAGTGTTATCGCCAATAAAACTTGACGGAATTCGTAGAAGTTTCAACTACAAAATTCGCAAGTATTTTTATGGATAAACGTAACCTCGACAGTACTTCTGATCACACCCGACAAAATCGTCACACGTAAAATACTTTTTATTTTTTTTGTAGGTAAATACCAGTGCATTAGTTTCTTTATACAGAGACTCAGAGCGAGACTTCCTGCGCCAACACGCATTGCATGCGTAAATATGTCGAGTCTATCGGCATCCAGACTCGTTCTCCTCTTTCGACTCTTCTTTTTTTAAAGCCTATAGATGCTGTGCATTTCCCCGCAAACATGAACAAGTTCCTCCTCACATCGCTAGAGCTCCTGCTCACTTAAGAACTGCCAGGCGTTACATATTATTTAATACTTCTTGCTTCATTGTTTTTTCTTCTTTCTTCTTAAGGGCTCATGCCGGATTCTCATTGTTTGCGTAGCGTTGATAAAAGTCTCGAGACTCGCCCATCCCGGCGTTTTTCTAAGATGTCAGTGAGTATATTGAATCTAAACTTAGGACACTGCACTATACGAGCTCCAACGCCATTGTTCGTTGTCGTGGTCGTGCTTACGCGGAATCAGGTGACCCTAATGAGAGAGCCCTATTGCGGCGGTATGCGTATAGCGCAAGTTCGTCTGCTTTTTTGCGCAAGGGTTGCAGTGACACAAGAAAGCTTAGCTTTGATTGGCTCCGACGGAGAAATAGTGGGTAGACCTTAATGCTAGCTGCCTTGGGGTCTACCCAATATCCTTTGAATGGGAACCAATCAGAGCTCGGCGTTCTGACGTCAACGCAACCCGAGCCCAAGAAGCAGAAGAACTTGCGTTTCGCATTGTTTTCTCGGTCGGAACGTTTTTACGTCTTGCTCTCGCGTCTTGCTTTTGCGTCCTGTATTTGCGTATTACATTTTAACCAAGTTACCGTCACTGGAAATGTATAGTGCTTAGAAACATGGCTTTGGTGAACGAACTTTCTGTGTTTTAGCCCACAATGTTTCCCAACATCAACAAACGAAAAGGTTTTCACGATGCTGCAGTGTGACAAAACAAAAATATGCCGAATGGCTAGACAATTGTGTTTCCTACGTGAAAAATTTCTAGCATCACAAACGTTTAGGAATGCTTTGAGTTGCCAGACGCCTAAGTTCACGGCGCTTTTCAACTGGTAATATAACGTGCGCTATGTACACGCTGTAGACATTCCTAGAATAAAGTGATACTACCGCAAATCGGGCTGATAAACATGGCGATCACCCAGAGTCTTCAATACTCGCGAGCTCATCTCCTTCAGTACGCACAAGTAATCGAGCCCCTCCTTGCCTTCCTTGATTCTCCTTCCCTGTCCCCTGGTCACATGACCTCCCCGTTAACCAACCAGCACCAATCATCTCACTCCTCCTCTTCCACCAATCAATCAATCAGTGTCCAGCCTAATGGTCAGGCTTTTATCTGGGCTTCACGACAGACCAAATCCTAGCCAAAGAACGTTTCACGTTAAAAGTGCCTTTGACCCGTTACGCTTTCCAGCAAAGAGCATTGTTTCTTCTTGGCAAAAAAAGAAAGAAAAAAAGGCTAGAACGTTTTTTTTTTAACAGAATAAACTTTATTTTAGAAGCTTGCTTACCTTGTTGCGTGACGTTTCCGTAATTACCATACATACACACAAGCCTCTCCGTCTAATTACTCTGTCAAATCGCCACGACATATTAAAGAC